ATCTTGCGTCATGATATGCGATACCGCAGCCAATTACCTGCGGTACGTGTCTGTACCGCGCACTTTGAATGGCTGCATCTGTATGTATAATAGTCCTCTAAATTTATCCGTATAATAGAACTACAACCATTTACGTATAATGAACATCTAATCATAGACATATAATTGACGTATAACAATAGACGTATATTAGAATTTCATTCTAGACGAATTGCGGACCACATTTAGACGTTTAAGGTATGCGTTTAATAGACGTATATTATATGTCTTTTGCCCACTGGGTTATGTCCGTTTGACATATTGCACAAAACCTGTAGACCATTTGAGATCACCGGGCCAGAAAATCTCCTCTGTTCTATCTATGTTTGAGGAGCAAAAAGCAGAACATTTTACCTGTTCTGGACAAATGCCCCTACCATGAGGTGTACACCATGAGGTGTACATAATGCTTCTTCCCCGCTGTGCAGCATGTTGACCCTTATTCTGAAGTTTCACCTGTCTTCTTTAGAAGCCTTCCACTTGTGAGAAGTAAAAACAATAGTTGTCACACTACCTTTTTGTTGTATAAATTCAGAAGTTTAATCCTATTGCTCACCAAATAAAAATGGCAGAGGGAGGTAGTCATTTTCTACAAGCTGTTGCAGCTGAAAATAGAATGGAATTGGACAGTTTGACTAGGTTACAGGATGAAGACATAGATGAATGGTGATTATTTACATTCTATGAGCAAATGTGCTCTTTGACAAAATACCACATTATATCCTGCCCTTTATACTTAAATGGTTGACAATCTAAGAATAAATAAAATTGATATGTTTTTTTACTTCTTTCAGAGATATACATGCCTGAACCTACCAACATACCTATTGAGAAAACAGACCAGAGAGGAGAAAGCAAAGCTCATGTCCCAGTATGGCCAACAGCCAGTGAGAATGAGATCATGCCTCAGTTCAGAGGTGAGTGTAAATCCATGGCATTTCAGTTGAATATGAAGTTCTTAACAAGATGGGGTTTGTCTATCTATGTTTTATTGGGAATAAGCAACTAATAGTACCTGGCTTTTTGCTGCCCCACTTTGCTATAATGTCTCAGTGGTAACTGCAGAAAATTCTCATTTAGAGAACACATGTATTTAATTAATAAAATGTTGCTTAACCTGCTGGGCTGATGGCTTACTTCCTGGCCATAGGATGAGGAGGCTAAGATCCACATGCGTAGTGAAAAGTGACCAAAGGGTGCCTGCAAAGGTAGAGGCAACTTTGTACTAAGTTGATCTACTGTAAGTAGTTAATGATATATATGCAATACAAAATTTGAAATGCTGCCATATCAGACAACCTGTACAGATTTCAGTAATATTTGAAAATATATTGAACTAAACAAAATTCAAAGAGAATGTGAATCTTAATTAAAATGTTTTGTTTTTGTTAGATGTTGCAATGCGTATCGATAAAAAAAATCAAAATCTCTGACTGCTGCAAATGGTTAATGTAAAAGCTGCACTGTTTAAACTGTGAACAGTAATGAAAAAAAATTACAATTTCACATCAATGCTTTAAAATTAAATCTTAGAAATAAAAGAAGGGTTGATAGACTGATACAGTATATTGATATTATAATATCAATATATCACAAGGGATTTGGGTGTACATTTATTGAAACACGTGTCTTTATTCTTCCATTTCTATCTACATATATATTTACTTTGTAATGTGCATGTTATGACCCCAAGTGTCTAGGGGTAAAAGGGTTTAACATTTAGGATAATTCTTTTGGTAGCAGGTGGGCTTTGGTGAGGGACAAGGAAGCGTGATAACAAGGGTAAGGAACTAGAATGGTGGCAAAGAAAAGAAAATAACAAACAAAATGGAGCTGGCTAGGACAGTGAGGGAAAGCTAATCTGACTACAAAAGAAAACCCGAAACACACGGTCTTTGGCGTCTTCAACACCCTAGCTAATCTGCACTGACTACCCAAAACCATACAAGACAAATGGCACTCACCCATACTAAACTAGTGTACTAATACAAAATCAACTAAGTGTGTAAGTGTACCCAACAACCTAAACTAACCTTTACACAAGCTCACACAAAAACACAAGTGAACCAGGAATACAAATAAGGGAAAACAAGAGTAACCAACAGGACCAGGGTACAAAAGGAACACAAAAGTTGAACATGTAACACTGGGGCAAGGCAATGACAAAACAAGGATGAACACACAAACAAACGAAGCCGAAGCAATAACCAGAAGCAAAGCGAAGCGATAACCAAAACCAAACGGGACCGAAGTCAAACGAAAGGCCTTTTCTTCCTGAAAGCCTCCATGTTAAATAGTGAATAAAATTAGTTCTGATTGGCTGAGGGCTGATTGATGATGACATCATATTGAAACAGTGGTGTGATGGTTGGCCAATGGGGAAGGGAGAACAATCGAGGGTCAGCAATGTGGACATAACAGAAAAAACACACAGAACACACACTGGGACGTAACAGTGCACTTAAAATGTAACACAGAAAAATATAAAAATTAGTTATTATGATTAATGTGGTAATGATGAGAAATTTAAAAAAAATATTAAATGTTAAAAGTTTGGTTTGGTAAAAGCTTACTTTTTGTTTACCTTTTACTGGACTTTTTCATCATATCATTGAAATCATTGGCCGTGGGAGAACTTTTTCATTTTTGGATAGGATCTGGCGATCAAATAAACACAGTGATCCAAGGGTGATATCACACCCCCAAAAAGAAGAAGCTATATTGTTGTGGGAAGAGGAGAAATTTATGAAGCTGTAAGACAGATGAAATGTGAAAAAGGGTTCAGTAAACTTGAAGAGCAGGATTAGTTACAAATGGTTCAACAAATAAAAGAGTGAAAGGGCACGTTTGCCTATAAATTAATTATTGCTCTTTCAGTTTGTGCTTCACAAATCAAGGACAATAAAGTGAGTGCAGAGAGGTTTTTTTAACTGTGAGTTTCCATGTTAATGTAACACATAAGTATTAAAATAGTGGTGTTGGTGGATATTTTGTATTGGAATTCCAGTATTTTCTGTTTGTGTATGTAAATAGTAAAATTAATATGTCTGCAATATTTTAATGTAACTATGAGAGTTGCCATTTTATCCCTAAAGAGGGAATATAACAGAATTATTGTGTTTTTAAAATGACATACGGTATACCAAATGATTAACTTTTTAAGGTTTTTTCTTTAATCAATGAAAGATGGGATCCAATACTCACATACAATGCCAACAATAATTGTAGCCAATTTTAAGTCTATAGTATTATGCTTCATATGGTCATCAGAAGGTACTTTGCATACAGTGGATATCAAAAGTCTACACACCCTTATTGAAATTTTTGCTTTTGTTGATGCAAAGGCTAAGACAAATCGTGTCAGACTTTTTTCACCATTGATAAGATCTTGTAACCAACAATATTTAAGTGAAAAAGAAATTGAATTATTGAAAAATAATTACAAAAGAAACTTTCAATGTTTTGGTTGCATACGTGTGCATACCCTTTATAAAGAGGGTTATAATTGTGTTCAGATTTAACCAATCACATTCCAAATCATGTACAAAAGTAGCTTCCCTTCACCGGACATCAACTGAAGTAATTCAGATTAGCCCTAAATAAAATCTGCTGTTTCCGAAGGATTTTCCCTAAAGGTTTCTTGGTTGCATAGTGCAGATATAACCATGGACCACAAGGAGCTAACAAAATATCTACAGGATTTTATTGTTGAAAGGTACAGATCAGGAGAGGGATATAAAAGAATTTTGAAGGCATTACATATATCGTGGAACACTGTGAATACCATCATTAAGAAGTGGAGGAAATATGGCACCAGGACATGGCAAAGATCAGGACGTCCCCCCAAAATCGGTGACCGGCAAGAAGAAAGTTCATCACGAAGGCTACCAAGAGGCCAACGGCAACCTTTATGTCAGTAGCTATTTACTCCTGCATATTATAACCATTCTGCATATTCTCCACAAGTCTGAGCTATGGGGTAGGGTTTTCTCACAAAAAAGAAACATCCAAGCACATCCAAGCACATAAAAAGTTTGCAAGAAAAAACATTCAATCTCCTCAAACCATGTGGGAAAATGTCTTATGATCTGATGTCCAATGTAGAACTTTTTGGCCTTAGTAACCAAAACATACAGATGCAGCCATTCAAAATGGGTGGGGTATTTCGAGGCATACCCCGGTGGGCGTGTCGCGGTATCATGCAGTGTCACGTGGTTAATCGCACGTCATTTGACGCTCTGCCGGAAACTATCC